TATATATATATATATATATATATATATATATAGATTTTCTAATACATTAGAAGAATGAGTCTAACATGTTTGGCTTATTATTTCTTTATTTTTATTTGTAAAAAAATCTAATCGTTTTTTATTTGAAGTTGAACAAGTCCAATATATTATTTACAAGCAAATTTAAACATTAAAAAACTAATAGCTCACCCAATAGCGGCTTATTTACACCCCTTGATGCACCATTAAAATTGGCAAAGATCTTGGCATTTTCAAACAAACTTAATAATTCTCAGTGAATAAACAGAAGTTGCAGAACTTCTTTTATCAAATATCTGCTATCTCAGGAAGCAGCCAAGCAACCAAGTTTACCAAATAAACAACTTAGTTCACTACATGTGGCAATTCCATGTATCATGCATCCGTCAAATGATGAATGAAAAATATTTATTTTACTCTATAAGATTACAAAAAAAAGTGGCACATTCAAGTATAACACCCAAAATTTCGATCTCATCCTTATTTTTTCAATAATTTCATCTATTATTGCTTGCTTGTTAGACAGTCTCTCTCACTCGGGTTCAGCACAATGAAACAATGATGATAGCTTGAGATGTTCATAATGCAGCTTAATTTGGGGCATTTACAATCATACGACACAAATATTATGAATTTAAACATCTAACATTTAAATTTTCATATTTACATATATTACACTCAAATCTTTAATATCGCATCAAAAATATCAATCCATACTTTTTAAATGTGGAATAACATTTTTATTCATAGATTTATGACACCAAATTGTTTGTAAATATCAATCTTTAGGTGTTATATATGTAAATGCAAAGGAATTGTGTCATATTTATGTAACTTTTCCTAATTGGTAGAAGATAATAAAAAACCATTCCTTGGCAATAAAAAGGCATGTGGCCACATATTCAGCTCATCAAAAGTGCATTTCACGTTGCATTGCTCACTACAAGAGATACTCAAGCAAGTTCATTATAGGTTGTATTCTTCAATACAGCAAATAGATGTAAAATAAGTTGTTATTAAAGGATTAGAGCACCCAGTGCTCAAGTCATGAATAGAGCAGTCTTGAAAACATGCCAACGAGTCCAACTTGTCCTGAGTACAACCTAGCTTTGGTATGTCTCGCATTTTGATGGGGACCAGCCTAGAAAAATTTTTAAAAAGGCTTGATCGTGTTTTTTGTACTAATGGAATTGACCCAGTATACTAAAACTAAATATCACCGCAGACAGAGATTTCAAATTTCAATATTAGTAAATGTAATATATTTTAGTAACTAGCTTACTAAACTAAATAATCCATATCCTAATAATCCATATCCTAATAATAGTCCTTTGTCAGATTGTTTGATAATTTTATAACATAGAACACATGGAATGAAGAATATGCCATCCTCAATTTTGCATCCAATATGATTACTATCATTTAAGAATTTAATTTAAAAACCATGTTTAAAAAATGAACTAAATCTTTGTTTTTACCTGCACCATCAATTTAATGTTATATACTTAAAAATTACAAATTTAAAATTTTTTTTAAAAAAAACATAATTTTCAAAAATTAAAGGCAGTCTTTATTTTGACTTAAATTATAAATTATATGATGAGCTTATATGAAGACAGGAAAGAAGCATTTAAAATTGTTATGAGAGATTCATGCTTTAATATCTTTTTAAATTGCCATTATCACCATTAAATATTATTACAAATTAATTTTTAAAAAGAACCCAAGCAGTTACTAAGCAATCTGGTTTCTTCTTACCTTGGTAACTTTGACTATACTTCTTCAACATAATTTACTATTGGCTAATTTAATGTTCTTGATTTTAGTCAAATAGGATAAATCGAAACTTTAATTTTGTGAAAATTAATTTGCTTCCTTGCCGATTTTATTTGTTTCCAAATCCTTGCTAAATTTCTTGAATATTTAGGATCATTTTATCATCAAATGGGTTTAAAGACTATGATGACACTTTTCAGTAAAGAGAGTTAGTTATTAAGCTACTAGAAAACGTCAAATATGTGGATAAAAAGTTTTCCTTTGCATGAAAGCATAAAATGCAAGAGAAACCCAAAGTCATCCTACATTAAATCATTAATGTTACGAACTTGCCAATTTTGTTTGATGACTTCTGTTGAAAGCCATAATGCTTCTTCTTTCAAAAACAGAAATAATAACTCTCGGTTATTATGCAGAATAGTTCTCATCTTCTTTGACTACACAGTTTGATTCATTTGGGATTGCAAAAATCAATTTTTTTAAGCAATTTGCAATCCACCTTATTTAAAAGATAAGGCAATTCTATAAATTCATCTGTTGCAAACTTGGAGAGGAGCTAGCGGCAAGACTTCTTTAAAGGAATCGATAATATGGAGAAGAATGGTGCCCTCAAATCCAATGACTGGATGAACGAGATCAATGGTGTTTGAAAATCTCCAATTTAGTAATATCAAACTATGGGTGGAACTACTCCATGCTCTCAAGCGAAAGATGGCACAAGTTGTCCCTGTCACAACTATTTCTAAGGCGGAAGTGTTAGTCTTCCTGCACTCGTCTAGAAGAGTGGCTGCAATAGAAACAATGTTGTGATTGCATACGTTCAAAAGCAGCTTTCACAAGGTGGAGAATGAATATGAGAGGGACATTATACCAAATTTAGAACCTTGATGACCTCCAAATCCAAGGGAAAATGATACAACCAAGCTAGCATAGCTTGTCCTATCAGATCAAAGCTTTTTTTCTTCATTTATCAAAGATGATCCATGGTGACATTCTTGTTCATATTTTCGTACCAGGGCACACCTATTGGTTGAATCTAGGCCTCTTTCAATTGGTGAATCATTTTCTCCATGAAATCCATGCTTACCAAGCTAGAGACAGTGGAACTAGATCTTGCCTGTTCGATCACTGCCATAGAATTACTCAAGATCACACCACACCAAAAAAAAAAATGAACCAAGATATACAAGAACCTTGCAAAAAGGCCGACTAAATTAGAAATAGCAAAATTTCAAACACTTACCTTGCTTTATAAGACATGAGTCTAAAGTGCAATCCTTCACCACTAATCAAGGGTTGACAATTTATAAGATCTCAACTAAGGCTCCGTTTGGGGCAGCTTGGGCAGCTTGTGCATTTGAAGATAAGCTGTTTATCCTGAAATGCGGCCCGCGGGCTGACCGCAGGGATCGACCCGCAGCCTGCGTTTAGTGTAAAAACTCAAACGTAGTTTCGGATAAGCTGGTAAAACGTGCGAACCAAACAGCACGGCGACGTTTTGAAAACGTCGCCCGCACTTATAAGCTGCCCCAAATGGACCCTAAGAGTCGATGCTTTTATCTTCAGAAAAAAATTGGATCATTCACCTCTAAAAAAGGTCGTTTACATTACTAATCAGAAGTTGACAAATTATAAGATCACAAATAAGAGTCGATGCTTTCATTTTCCGAAAAAATTTGGATCATTCACCTCAAAAATAAGTTGTTTACATTACTTCTAAAATCATGCCAAATCAAGCAGTTACAACGGCAACTTGAGCATCATGCAACTCCCCGTCAGTTGGTACAACAATGCTAGCCAAGGAATGTGCCATAAATTTTGTATCATAAACCAGTAGCCGCCTTGCCATAGGAAACCTGCTATATCAGATAAAACCATGTTGAATTCATCCCATGCATCCAACTTGATTTGGCCTACCCAAATATTGAAATACTATGGTCCGGTGAACAAACAAATTAAGCTAACTTATAATGCCAAGACTTTCCTATTAGTGATATTATCTACAGATAGGAATGCCTATATAAATATTCTAGAAAATAAAAGAACAGTACAAATAACTTGAAACAAAGAATATTTTTGCATAAAAATAAAGTTCATTCCATATGGACAAGCAAAGAGGAAATCATGAAAAGAACCTTGTCCTTCACCAATCCATCTTCTGACATGCAAAATTGCAAGTTCTCATCCAGAAACCTTTTGTCAGCCATTTCCTTCAATCTTCTCTGGACTTCAACAGGTTCTAGGTTTGAATAATGCTGTTGTCTTATGTATATGACATCTTTACCTCCCATCTTCACACCAACAATAATATGTGTGCCAAACTTTTCAATGAACATGAACCTGTGATAATAAAACAAAAAAAAAAAAAAAATCAATAATTTACTCTTTACAAATTGACTACATAATGGCAACTGTAATATCCATATGTGGGTTATTATTCAATTTCATCAATAGCATAGGTCCCATCAGAGGAGGAACACTAAAACAGAACCTTATAAACAGCAGCAAGCCTTCTTCTATTTATTAATTTACTTTGCTTTATCCCTTCTTATGTCTACAGCCTCTGTGTCACAAAAATTGTCCCCTACCACCCCCACTTTACACCTAATCTTGCTTCCACATCTTCCTCTGCCTCCAAATGCTTCCATCCACACCAACAATTCCTCCCTACAATTCCAACAAACTTTTATGCAGGAAGAAAAAAAATTGCAAACTTGGGTGAAACAATCTATGAATCAGCAACTCCAAATAGAGAAGGGTATTCAAAGACATATAGCATTCAACAGCTACAGTGATGTAACAAATATACAAGATGCATCTTTATTGCTTAGAGACAGCACCGCAGACAAAAAGGCAGCGTATAAATAAAGATTACTCGAAAGCTCTATTCTAAACTTATAGATATTTAAAAAATGAATTCCGATTAAGGAAACTCCTGCATAAATTCCAGCTTCTTGAACTAAATTTATGAAGAAGGTTCTGGATATGAATTCTGGAAAAGAATATGTGCATGGATCTAGAAAAAACCATAGATCAATCCAGAACACAATAAAGGCCATAGATCAATCCAGAACACATTAAGGGTTTCAAATACTTTCAAGTACTTATTCGTCATTGCTAATGGAGTTAACCATGCCATTAAGGGCGAGTCAAATGCTAACCTAGACGCTTGGGAGAGGCAAACATCACCCAGGCAGGAGTCACTAAGATACAGCCTAAGAGAGTGCTCTGAAATAAAGTGCTTAGCACTAACCTATATGAAAATTTTTTGGTTATTTTTTTAAAATATATACAAATTGATCATTAGCTGGAGTTCTACAAGTCCTGTTGGGTAAAATGGCATGGGTTATGAAAAATATGAAATAAATAGTAATGACAATTAGATTAGCCTTAAACCATGAAGCTAAAAAGTTATGAACTATTAATTGAAACTGCAAACTTAGCAGTTGGGTTGTATTTAAATTTTATTTTAGACAATTGATTTGGAAACATTATTATTTTAGTGTTTGAGTTGATACGACAACAACAAGCCTTTATCCCACTAAGTTGGGTCGGCCATATGAATCATTTTTTCTGCATTCTATTCGATTGAGTGTCATATTTTCATTTAATTTTAATAGATTAAGATCATTTTTTATACAATATGCCCAAGTCTTTTTAGGTCTACATCTGTCTTTCTTAACATAAGTCAAATCTAAAGCATCTACTCTCCTAACTGAATAACAGATCTTCAGATGGTCAACATTTAATATGACCAAACCATCTAATACGACTCTCTAGTTTTGTCCGCCACTGGAGCTACACCAACCCTATCACGTATTCATTTCGCATTTTGTCTCTAAGTGTCAAGCCACTCATCCACCTAAGCATTCTCATCTCAGCAACACTCAAGTTTGTTTTATGCTTCTCTTTTAAAGGTCAGTATTTTGTGCCAAAGAGCATTGCAGGTCTCACCACTATCTTATAAAATTTTCCTTACAGTCTAAGTGGTGCTTTCTATCACACAATAGGCCCGATGCATTCTTCCACTTCAACCAACCAACTTGAATTCTACTAACATCCCCATCTATATCACTGTCACCTTGAACAATAGACCCAAGATATCTAAATCATTCACAACTTTTAATGATTTGATCACCCGTAGTCATAACTCTGCCACTAGAGCAACTACTAAAATTACATTCCATGCATTCATTTTTAGATCTACTCAAACGAAGGCCTTTAGACTCCAATGTAGACCTCCATAATTCATGTTTTTCTTGAACATTTTCTCTAGTTTCATCCACAAGAAGGATATCATCAGCGAAAAGCATACACCAAGGTACATCCTCTTATAAATTTCCAATAAGAGCATCCATAATTTAACCAAAAGATATGGGCTTAAAGCCAATCCCTGATGTAATCCACTAAAATGGTAAAATATTTGTTCAATCCTCCTTCTGTTCAAAAGTAACAGCTCTAGCATACATATCTTTAATGACTTGAATATAAGTCATATCAACACTTCCTTCTCCAACACTATCATAAGCTTTTCCCAAATCAATAAAAATCATATGTAGATCCTCCTTATTCTCTCTGTACTTCTCCATCTAACCACTCAATAAATGTATAGCTTCCATGATAGACAACCCGACATAAAAATCTAAACTGACTAAGAGAAATAAGAAAACTTTAAAATACTTTTTTACCATATTTTAATATTTCACTTTCTAAAATATAATCAGTGAATATTTAGCATCTCACTTCGTTCAAATGAGAGACAAGGTTTGCACCTAGTTCTTTGAGCATTGGGTAAACACGTCATATTGAAGGCGCTAGCACCTTTAATGACGCTGGTTTCACAAAATGGTATGCTTGATTCCTTGCAAAAGTACCATTAGAGAAGTCACTACAAAGTAATTCTTTTAGCACGTGAGGAAGTGCTTCACTTAACATTTTCCATCATCTCTACTAAAGACAGAAAATTTCTCCGTCAATTTAGAAGAGAAATATTAGCCATGATGGACACCAAACTAAAAGAGAACATTGTCTTCCACGCATAAATTGATGATAAGATAGAGGCTATGAACAAAACAAAAATTAAAATGCTATGCGGTTACAATGCCAAACATTCCAAAACTTAGCATATCTGTATTTTGTATTCTCTAAATCTAATTTTCTTGCAATAAAGAAATTCATGAGCTAACAATGACTTTTTAGATTTTTACCTCAAATTTGTTTTGACATTAACTCTCTTTTGACTTGTTTGAATGAAGCAATAAAAAGCTCGAGGAGAAAAAAGCTCAAAGATTCATGAAGAGCACTAGGAAGATTCATTGAAAAGTAGAAAGCTTAATAAAATACATAAAAATATAAAGCATGGCATGACAACATTAAAAACCACAACACTTTTTGGTAGTAAACTTACGGTGATGTTAGTTAAGGAAAAAAAAGTTGAAAAAATTAGGGTAAGGAAGCTAAAGCCCATCAAACATTAACCTTTCAAAATCCTCCATAAGATAATTATGGCAATAAATATAACCTAGATATTCTTGTTAATTGAATATTTACCCTATAACTAATGTAAAGAATCTAAAGTTATTTGAAACTTCTTTGCTTGATGATATTTATAAGCAAAGGACCATATTGTAGGTTACTTAAAGTATATAGGAAGGAAAAATGGAAGAAGACAACATCAAAGAAGAAGAAGTGATGCTATAAAAAAGGCAGTCAAAAAAGCATTCAATTTTGCAATTGTCAAATAGTTAGGCAAGATAATACTATGACAAAGAATATGTAGAGAGAGGATTTCCTAATTAGTTAAAATAGCAACTTGGACAGTAATGGGGTTCATCACTCAGTATTATCCCGCATCATTGCTGTTTAACTCCATTTTTAAACAACAGTCTATACATGAATCTAAATAGACGGTGGATCATTCCAAAACACATGAATGCATGAAGAAAGTGCAACAAATTGGAGTTAAAGAAGTTAATTGCAACTTGCACCATCAATTTCTAAAATAAGATGGTCAAAACCACCTACAAATAATTGGTGGAGACAATAAAGATGCACATAGAAAGAAAAATAAGATAGCTTATCCATGCATGATCCAATGAGGGCCTTAGGATCATTCTAAGCTATTTAATGTAATTGGGGAAGAAAAAGGTTCATTAGTTATCGTATGAGCTAGAACATTTATATGAAAAGTTATCCCTTAGATTTTCATTAGGATTTTCAATATTTACTAGATTAATTAATAATAATTTGTTTTTTTAGATTTTCATTAGTCTTTTATTATTATTTTAAATAACTTCCTAGGAATATTAATTGTCCATTTTAGCATTTTTAAACGCAGATTAAATAATACTTTCCTCTTCCATAAAACATTGCCTCCACCCTCTCACTTACCCATAATACTTTCCTCTTGTAAGTCGAGGGGATTGACTGGTGTAAATTTCTCAAGTAGTAAAATCCTCCGCAACTCCGTGGAAGTAGACAATTTGTCGAACCACATAAATATGTGTTTCGCTGTGTTGTTATTTTCTTGTGTTATTTTTCTTGTTATATTTTTCACTTTGTCGATCGTTCTCCTGTTTGATTTATACATATATATCACATCAACTGGTATATCTAGATCTCGCAACAACAACAACCTTTCCCACTCTAACAGAAAGGAATCTATCTCTACTCCCTTGAGATCAAGAGAGTGCAGTTTCTTTCTTTTTCCAATCTTCTCAAAACATAGGAGTTCAAGGAGGAAAGAAGCAAGAAAAATTCAAGGAGGTGCATAAGAACACGTAAGGCATTCAATGGAGAAACCCTACGAGAGATGAGAACCATCAAAAGCTCTCAAGTATTGGACATTCTCTAAAATGTCTAATTAGTAATCATTCCGTAATAAAATGATACCCAAAGTAGAAATGAAAATATTATTGATGAAAAAAATTTACAAATAAAGACACTTGCAATAAGAAAACAACAAGTCGGAGAGGCGATGTTGCGGTTAAAGGGGAAGTGGGGTTTATGGCAAGCTGTGTGGTGGAAGGATCGAAGGAAGATGTCAGGGGGAATGAGTTGAATAGGTAGCTCAAAGTGAGTTGGCCATTGGATTGTTGTAGAAAGACATAGGTTGATGGTTGGGAGGCTAGCTGCAGTGTGGTGTGAAGTCAGGTGTTTGGGGGTACGGTACGGAGGGGAGGTTGGCAGATGGGTTACGACAGGAAGGGGAGGCCAATAGTAGGAAGAGGAGTTGGAGAAGGGCAGTTGTAAACGGAGAGAAGTGAGGGGACTTACAGTAACAACAATAATGAAGAAGGGGGATTGCGGCAGCAGTGAGAAGGTAAGGGTGGAGGAGGTAT